TCTTCTCTTCCTCTTCTTCTTCTCTTCCTCTTCTTCTTCTCTTCCTCTTCCTCTTCCTCTTCTTCTTCTTCCTCTTCTTCTTCTTCCTCTTCTTCCTCTTCCTCTTCTTCTTCTTCTTCTTCCTCTTCCTCCTTCTCCTTTCTTCTTTTCTCTTCCCCCCCCCCCCCCCCCCCAGCTGGAGGGCCGGCGTTTGGCTCCCCCTGTTCTAGTGGAAAGCAGACTTAAGAGATAATGTGATTTTCTTGGCTGGACCTCGCTGGCAACCAATCAGCTTCTCTCTTTCATTTTCAAACCTTCAATAAACAAACTAAAGAGAGAGGCTGATTGGTTGCTATGGGCAACTGCTCCAGATTCTGATTGCTCCAGTTTTGATAAATTCCCCCCAATGTGTTCTATGAATAGAAGGGGAGCGCTCCGTGTAATGCTGAGGAATCCTCTACCGGGCGCCCCCTGGAGGACACTTTAGAGAAGTACACAAACCAGAGCAGTCACAGACTGGCAGGGGGAGACTCCTCATATCCCCTGCTGCACTCTACTGGAGAGGAAATCTATATTTTGGGCTTACATTTTAGGAAAGAGTTCTAAAATACTGTGAATTCTAGTTTTCAGGGGGTGTCAGTCACCGCTGCTGGGTCCTCCAGAGCTCCGATACCTAAAGAACGCCAGCCTCAGCTGTTCCTGTGCCGTCTACTGGAAAATGTTGTTGCTCTGTCATTTTCTTCCCTTCTGTCCGCCTCCCAAATTTTCATCAAAGGCCACCAGTCCTAACGTCAGACAATTAGCCTCCCACGAGACCCAATGACCGTCTCAAGCTGACCTCACTATACAATTCCCTATAGAATCACCAAACCTGCATTACCCATTCAATTTGTATCCAGTCAGACCGGCTCTTGCTCTACATAGTTGATGGTAGATCTAAAAGGTGATTGCACAATCAGATTGTATGGTATATGGGTAGCTTTCGAATGTGGTCGACACGCCCCCTGCGCTTCAGGGGGTCTCAATCACAACTTCGGTGTCCTAGGTGGTACACACAAACTTCTATAGAGCCAGTTTCATCTTGCTGAGAGGCTGCCCCCCCGTGCACCCAACGTCTATAGAGCCGGTCTGA